TTACATTAGAACTTTAACAGCAGTAACTGGTAATGAGAAAAACAAATCCATGTTGGTCCTGATAAATTGATTACTGCCCGTGAGTAACTACATTTGCATTTCTTGAATCTTCACTGTTTAAATTTCTAATGAATGAAGAAAGGACCTCATTTATACATTTTCAACAACTACATTACAGATGACTGATATACAGGTATATCATTGTCTCCTCTGACAATATTTCATTTTAAATTGCACCAATTTGTACTCGAACAAAATAGAAGAATATTGCCAAGATACAAATCAGGAGATCAGCATATTGCAGGACAATAAAATATCATTTGTTTGTCATTATACTGAACAGCAATAGATACAGGTAGGCTTATATTCCAATAAATACAGGAACAAAAACATCTATTGTGCCTTGTCTGAAAATACTCTATTTTCTTTGCAGCACTCATATTCAGTTGACCATTCAGGCCTGTTGACATCTTAGAATGACAATATAACAGTATATTTTACAATTTATATCAGCAAAGGTTGTTAAAATACCTAAGAAGAAACACAATGAAGATTCCGGCAGAAATTGAAGAGATAATTTCAAAGATGTTTGAAAGTGTGTACCATATATTTCTGCCTATAAACCGCACCTAAGTATAAGCCGCAGGACCGGTTTTGAGCGATTTTTTATTATTTCATCCACATATCAGCCGCACCCTTTCTTATGATATGGTGACCACTGTTGTTGACATTTGATCTACCGGTAAGAGATAATGGGAGGCACTTTTTGAAGATCACCAGTGTAATATTTCATCAAGTTTACTGATGAATTTTCCACAATTAATCCTCTAGGTTATGGATATATATTTAAGTAATGTTGGTCTCTATATATATTTTGCAACATTTGTTTCTTATGATGAACTGCTATAGTCAACAATCTTTCCCACCCTTATATCATCTGTTTCATGGTTGGATTAGTTAGAAGTAGGTCCTGCAATATTATGACACATGTAATAAAAATAAAACAAGAGCCCAAAGGGCCCGTATTGCTCACCTGGTTAAGCTTGCTGAAATTGACTCATCTAAACTAAAGGGAGAGTATTTACAACACTTGTTCCCTACCCTAAAGATCAAGGTAGAATTTAAAGTAATCGATTGATTTTCCCCCATTGAAACCCGTCCCTCTCGGCCCTGATTTCCCAGGTAGCTTGGTTTTCCTATAGCTCACATTGGTCCTTTGGGCCATCTCGTGTGACAACAAAAAAAAAAAAAAAAAAATATTAGAAGATTATTTACAAAAAAATTTATTTGTTAATGATGGCAATACATGTATTTAAAAATAAAATATTTCTCAATGTATTTCTTGATCTCACAATATCAATCAAATTGCTTCATGTAAATAAATACATCACTTGGCAGTTATACAATATTAGAACACAAACAACCTCAAACAGTGAAGTCAAAACAACATTACCATGATGTAAACAAACAACACTCCAATGCTAAATACTACATGTATATGAGACAACAGTAAACTGAGACATCAGCCAAGGAAGTTCAGCTCAGCATTTTATCAAGCAGGAACCGACTGGGAGACGATCCAAATCCAACTGATATTACAGGAGTGATTGTCAGTTGTTCAGGGATTTAATCCCCGTCAATTAGAAGTAATGTCCGAGATTATCAAAGTGTTTTGGATTTCGATTCCCTCCGTGTAACTTCTTAAAGACAATAAACACATAAATATGAAAAAATTCCTTATTGTTCAAACATTTGCTCAACAACATCTTAAAACTGTTTGGAATGTATAAATGTTTACTATTTCCTCAAAGACATCAACATACATACCAAGTTACTTTTCACTATCAACCTATATTTGAGCAGCTTGGATTCATATCTCAGGAGTTCACAAACACCTGTACTGGCAAAGTGGACAAAACTCATTCATCACAACACGGATAACCCTGTTTTCTAAATGCTGTTTGTGAAACACAATGAAGTGTTAACCTGTATTATTCATAAATAATTTTCACACCTTTGTTGAACTTTTCTCTGTGCCCTTTTTACCCGATCACCCAAATTCCTTTCCCTACAGATCAAACATGCTGTCAATCTCTACAACATTTTATAGTCTTATTTTCAGTTTCTCCAAACCATAAGGTGATTGATCTATTTTGTTTTGTATTCCCTTACCATTCTTATCATTTTCCATTTGAAAATGTAGAAAATAAAACCGATTTATAAAATGAAAATTTAACAACTGGATGTTCTGTCTATTTTAGCCATGTCTCATACATTAGGTCCTCCCCCTGTGGGATGTGGAATGCCTGTTTAATAATGTATCCTTATTTCTGGTTAAATAGTTAATTTTAAATTCACAAACAATTTTATCAAATTAAAAAAAAACTATTCTGTATCTTCATGAATTAATTTTTCTCTATCAAATGTCTTGTACTCATTTGAATTATAATTCCCCTTTCACATATCTGTCACTGTCTAGTTCAGGACTAGATTACATGGGGTTGGTTCCCTCCTACATACATCCTGGCTCTGGATTAATAAGGTAGCTTTCCTTTGGATATAACCTTGATATCACCTGTCAGAATGTTAGTCACACGCTACACATTATTAACATAGTCCTTCAAAAGGGTGCTTCAACTGATCCCATTTCTACATAAACAGATTTTATCTGTGTGTAATAGTCCAATGCTTCTGGTCCGTTTTCGCGTCCGATGCCTGACTTCTTGTACCCGCCGAATGGAACTCCGGCTGGATACACATTGTAGTTATTGATATAGAGAGAGCCCGCTTCCAGACTGCTTGCCACTCGGTGAGCCCTCTGTAAGTTACTGAAACCAAAAATAGTCAAGATGATACTTAAGAACCACAGAAGCATAATAGACTATGTAAATACAACCTTTTGTCACAACCACATCAGGAAATGATATGGCATTGGCTTAACCTTATAATAGATAACGTGTATGTTGTATACTGTCTAATTTTCGTTTTTTTGTGTAAGATTGCTTGGCAAATATTTCACTGGCTAAGTCTTATTGTTAGAGAGTAACAATACAAATACATATGTTCAGCTCTTCATTGGCAAAAGCCTGACATGTTTAAAATGGGATATTCTAGTTTTGACACCAAAAGATGAAATTTATATACCAGGTAGCATGAAATTAATTTGTATCAGGGTATGTTAATCTCCCTATTCAAAGATGTTTAAATCCATAATACTCTCACTGATAATAACTCCCTTCAATGGCGTCAGCTGGTTAACATCGTTATGTCTACACAATCAATTAATTCAAATTCTGAATCTGTTTCTAGTTTTCAACATTTGAAAACATCCATCTTTTGATCCAAACACAAATAAGTGAGGTCTTGCATCAGATGTGAGATAATGTTTAACAAGTTTTTATTTGGGTACATAAAATTATTTTGAACATCTAAAAAGCATAACCATCTTTATAAATATCAAAGGGTGTTAACTTGGTTATCTTTACAACAATATCATACTTTGTGAAGATTCCTCCTGCCAGTCCAAATTCTGAATCATTGGCACGAGTAATGACCTCTTCATCACTTGAAAAGCTGAGTACAGACATGACACTTCCAAATACCTCCTCCCTGACCACTCGCATGTTGTCTTGGCAACCAGTTAGTATACAGGGCTGGATATAGTGGCCACCAGCTAGACTAGGGCTAGGTGTCACACGTTCACCTCCATACAGAACGCGAGCTCCCTGCGACACAAACATAGAGCCTTATAGTTCCCAATAACAGTCATTCTCTTACTCTGGCAAATGTAATAGATTTCAAGCATTTGGTACCGACTGCAAACATCCTTAATTTTGTGAAACCACATTTCAGGGCATAGAATTTCAGTAAATGACACATTAGCACAATAATGAATTCATGTTTCCAAAATAATTTCTATATAAGCAGCATAGAGAAACTGTAATAACAGCAATCATATTTTAGTGCAATACTTACAGCGTAAACAAGCGCTAAAATAAAATTACCTCTAAAAATATATTTGTTTACAGTATTTGTTTGGATTTATATTCCTGTACCAATTCCCAGTAACGTAAATTAAAATAGCTAACTGTTTAATACTTTATATTTACCTTTTTGTTAACTCAACAGCCAATTTTACATAGGCATAACTAATCTAAAACTAAGTTTATTATCTGCCTTGAAAGTTCATCAGTGGAATAGCCAAAAATAACCGTCTCTTTCCGTTGTCTTTATAATAAAATAATGCATCGTGAATTTAAGATTAAAAAATTGTTGTGTAATTGGAGAGAAATTTTGAGAGTGTAGGGTGAGTACATCAAAATATATTTGAAAATTTTCAAATAATGAGATGGAAATACAGCAATAATATCAAAATTCTGAATCAAAATTGTTTTGTCATTTTGATACTGCAGAGGAATCACAGAAGTACTCTTAAAAAAGCAATAATACCATGAGTTTGCACTTCATTTGGTCCCTAGATTCACAACCTGGAACAGAATTTACTAGGTTCACATAGTGACAATGCAGCACGAATGTAAATACCTCTGTTTTACCAATGTCTATGTACTGTAGAGTTTTGTGTGCCTGTTCTGGGCTGATTGTAGCACCGACAGTGGTGTCTTCGTCATTTGGATCACCAATTTTCATTGCTTTGGTTCGCTCCACCAACTTTTCCAAGAAGGGTTTCATGACACTTTCTTGTACAAACACCCTTGTTCCATTTGAGCACACCTAGGGAAAAACCAATAAAATAGGAGTGAAATTACCACGGTAACAAGGAATTCTATAGTGATCTTGGTATCTACTATGGTATAAACTTTATTAGTTCTATATCAGTTGGATATTTTGTTAAATACGTTTTCTGGTCTGTGTTAAGATCTACCTGGCCTTGGTTGAACCAATTATCTACTCATTGCAAAGACTTACCTGACTTTGATTGAGAAGGACATTTGATCACTGGCTAGACTCACCTGTCCTTGGTTGAGGAAGTTGGCTAACATGGCACCAGTCACTGCACTATCCAGATCACTGTCCTCAAAGATGATACAGGGAGATTTCCCCCCAAGCTCTAAAGTTACATGATGAATTTGCTGAAAATTTAAATAAATGTCACAGTTGTTCAGATCCCTGTTGTACAGAAAAATACTTGAAAAAATGGTTCATGTTATTCAGAGTTTCTTACATCCACGACAGGACATTATATATACCTACAAACACATAGTTGCTCAGAATGCTAACAGTCAAACCCTTGCTGACAACTACTTGTACATCAAGATACTCCTACAAATGTACAAGGCCTTAATCTGCAGTTTTTGAAGTGATCAAAAAATCATTACATCAAATCAAACCAAGTAAAACTTGACAAAATTCTTACAAAAGTATCGTTAATGATCCTGGTGACACCTTTCAACTTAATTTCTTTACTTTGGGGGAATAATATCTTATTTCAATTTTAAATGAAGTCAAAATTAAATGGAGATCATTTCAGTTGATTAAAAAAAACACTCTTTTCAGCAGTCAGGAAGGAATTTCAATTTTAAAATACACAGAAACATAAAAAAATCAAATCTAACAACAAAGAAATACTTATAGACATTAATGATAAATAAAAACTATCAAACATCAAGTATAGCATATAGACATAAACTTTCAAGTCTTGAGTCGACTTCATATGAAACATGTCATCTATTTGTATACCCCTATTACCTTAGCACATGCCTCCATGATCTTGCTACCTGTTGGAACACTGCCAGTAAAAGTCATTTTGGACACACCTGTGTGGTTGCTTAGCAACTCCCCAGTTTCTCCTTCACCCTACAATAAATCATCTCATCAAACACAGGATTGCAAGGAAACATTTGAAGACATCTCAGCCATATCATTATCATTTTTTTTTTTAAATTTTGACCAACAAGTTATGGATGCTGCGACATAATTAATGCATTTCATCTTTTGTGAACAAGGCAGGTAATGACAAGTATTTTCAAAGTTTCAAAAACATATTGTTCTAAAAATTCTTTTCAAGTTTCATTCTGATTAAAATAAGGTGACAATAATACTACAAGATTGATGCACTCACAATTTTTGGATAATCATTTACATCTACAAGTTCAACAAAGAATCTTTAACATTAACATAGGAAAGTTTTTGCCGTAGTGTTGTAACTGTTCTTATCAGCTTAGTTAATATTTCTAGATCTTAAAGCCCAGAGCAGATGAAGTTAGATGGAAAACTAGTCTACAAAGCATCTTTATCTAAATCTGGCAAAATGTCTTTTTGATTGAATACCTTTGCCTATTTTCCGCAATTTTCAACTAACCACTGTCTTGCAGAATGAAAACATCCTTTAAACTACAGAGACCAACACAGGGCTCTCTCACTCCATTTTGGGACTGGGGCTCGGGGCCCTTAGAATTGGGAAAAATAGCGGCATTTTCCTTAGAATTGGGAAAACTTGGGGTCTAAATTGGGAAAAAAAGATACCTATTTTGCATTGGGAATGTGGCCGAATATCGGTCCCAAATCTGGCAGATTGAGAGCCCTGCAACACCACACAGAGACTTTCCTAATCACAGTAACAATGCGGTCACTGAATATGGTATGTCTAATGACATGTGACTTTAATATCTGAAAAGCGTAAAGTTGTTTCATGCCTTTAAAATCAGTCAACAGTCAAACCAATTTTTCCGAGGTGTTTGGTGGTGCAGATTGAGGGATACAGCTCATTGGATTGGCTCTCTTGTGGAAAATAGGTTTGAGTGTTGACTGATATTAAAGGCTAGAAACAACTATTTTGTTACCTGAATTATCCAACATGATCAGATATATGTCATTCATGCTGAGAAATTAATACACCTGTCTGTGTGTAAGACCTGTCCAGTACAAGGAAAGCAGTCGTCCGTTTACATTGGCAATCAAGACAAGAAAGATACTTAATCATAATCATTATCGTTGGAATGCTTGGGCGTGTGCAGATACTCTGCAACCGTCAAACATTTTGACTGTTGACAGGCTTCTTTGGGGTTTTCCTGGTTTCCCAGGTATTTATTGTGTTGCCATAGATATCCTAAAGCAGGCCTGGTATTTACCTGGACAACATTAAAACAGCCATGTGGCAGGCCAGCTTCTGTGTAGATTTCTGCCAACATCACAGCGGTCAGTGGTGTAAACGGGGATGGTTTGAATACCATAGTGTTCCCTGCAGCAAGGGCTGGACTTGACTTCCATGATGCCATCTGAAATGGGTAATTCCAGGCTCCAATACCTCCAACAACACCCAGCGGCTCTTTGATTGTGTAAGCAAAGCTCCCATTGGGCAATTGTTGGTACTCTCCTGTAATGAAGAGAGAATCAATCTAACAAACTGTATTTATCTTGCAATCAACTGAGGGGGCTAACTTTCAAATAATGACTCAAAATCAGGGGATAGGCATATTGTGGGATGTTGAAGAAGTTCCTGTTTGTAACTCCTCTGAAAAGCAAGCTTAGCTCTGAAAGTGAGCTTATTACTAGACATAGGCTAATCAGTGGTAAAAATATTGTAAGCTCATTGGAGTGTGTGAGAAGGATATACATGTACAAATATCTTCACCTGCAATTTTTGCAGCCAGCCCACCATAATAGTCAATAGTGTCGGCACAGCTTACGATGTCGTATCTTGCCTCCCATATAGGCTTGCCTGTGTCAAGTACCTCGGTCCTAGCCATCTCCTCTGTCCGCTCCTACAACATGTACAGAACCATTTGGTATCAAACCAACTGTAGAATAGCACAATCACTTAAAACATTTTTAACAAAGAAGTGAGGTTAATGATAAAATGATAGAAATCTAATAATTAGTGCATAAAAAAGCTTTGCTTTGTTCTTTTAATGGGTTTATTACTCTGTGAACAGCCAGGGCCACTTTGAGGTGGTGTCTCCTTGTCATTGCTGGATGCTACTATAGGGAACAACATGTGGGAGGCCAAAATCATGTGAGTCATATTTTACCATATGCTTATGTAGGCCAACATCCTACTGACCAATATATCATAGCCCAGTAATATAAAAAAATCAAGAATAATAGCAAATTATGGCTAACAAAATACAATGCACAATACACATCAATCATACATTCTTAGCACAAAACCTACCCTGACTATATTGGCTGCCTTTTTCAGTATTGCTCCTCGTTCAAAGCCTCCCATCTTTGACCAGGTTTTAAATGCATCTTGAGCCACAGACACAGCCTCATCAACATCCTTGCCTCCAGCATTTCCAACAGTTCGGAGAACTTCACCTATAGTAAAACAGCTAGAACTACAGAAAAGTGCACTTGTTTCCAAAATAAAGAATTTGAATTTCAATTACAAAACAGGAATAGTATTAAGCTGCTTTCAGTTTTACAGAAATGTTCAGTGTACTTTATCTCTATTAAAGTAACAAGAATTTTAGCAGAGAATTGCATGTTTTCAACATTTCCCACAGTTATGAAAGCCTCTCCTATACTGTACAAATATCACTCACTGACTCAATAGTAAAGATAGCCTGTTGTAACTAGAGACATGCAGGTGAATGTGTTGACAAGTTAGAGAGGTACCAGTAATATATTTGTTAGATTGAAGTTAATGGTGAAGCACAAATAATATTGTAATTTAATGGAATAGGACACATAACATTGTTTAAGATTATTAGCATATTTAGTGAGGTTTAGTTGAGGTAGATGAGCCTTCAGTTAAATGTTTGAGATGGATTTTGATTAAGTGAGCTACTGATACCTGTAGCAGGAGATGTTAGATTGAAGGTGTTTGGTGAGTTTGCTGGGTCCACTCTTTGTCCTCCTATGTAGTTGAGAGGCTGTGTGACCTGTGGATGCGAGCCAGTCACTACAGCCATATATCGTCGTGGAACAAATTGTAATGCTCTCTTCATGGACAACATCTTTCTGGCTGTTCACTGTCAAGACTTAAATATAAAAAGATGCAGGTCTTACAAAAATGAACTCATGTATAAGAATTTTTTCAAGTTGAAAATAACAGCAAGTAAAGCTTTAGGAAATACACACTTAACTAGCTTAAAATAAAATGTGTTCCTTAGTTGACTACAAGTCATTTAAAAATATTTATTTGATTTTTAGCAATGCTTTTCTGAATGCATGAAAGGCCAAATCTTTATATCTCGATGTTTTTTGGAAACAAAAATAAAATAATAAATCATATCAGACTTTTACCATATCATATTAATTAAAATGAGTAAAAACAAAATAATTTAAATTTGATTTTGTGTAAAGTTTCAGAGATCTCAGAATTGGTGACGTCGGCAACATTCAAAATCAGTAACCTTTCAGGGTCATGCTATTGTTCCTACTGTACTTTTCAAGATGTTTCAGGATCTATGACGAACAATCATCATCCAGGCTAGATATATGCAAATGAGATATTTGTGAAAAGTGTATTGTAGTTATACTGTTGCAAATGATTTTTACTGACCAATCAAATGTTGTTTATTTCTTGAACAAATTAGAATTAACATAAATTTTTTACTATTGTAAATTTTACAAATGAATATCATTTAATGTTCATTGACAAGAAAAAATAAATGCTTAAATTGTGTACCAGCGGCTCATTAGACTTATGCATAATGAATGAACTGAGGGGAAACTCTCATGCCAGTTATTTCTAGAATTTTACCAGGGTGGAAAAAAATCGAAGATGGAACGACAAGTGAAACAACAGAAAAAATATTATATGTGTACTAACAGTAAACAGTGATACAACATTCAATAATAATTGTAATACACCAGAATTTTTTCCATTAGTAGTTAAATTTGAATGTAAGCAAATTATAACTATACTGTCAGGGCTCTCAATCTGCCAGATTTGGGGCCGAATATTCCCAATGCAAAATAGTATCTTTTTTTCCCAATTTAGACCCCAAGTTTTCCCATTTCTAAGGAAAATGCCGCTATTTTTCCCAATTCTAAGGGGCCCGGGCCCCAGTCCCAAAATGGGGTGTGAGAGCCCTGACTGTATACAGGACTCGGAAACAATAATGAAGAATTTAATTGATTTCTTCATATATGCGAGGGTCACATGATAGATGGTACAAAGGCATGCAATTGATGTCCTATCCATGAACTGTCCATTGATGGTACCTTAAGATCAACAGTAAAGGTCATCTTTTGACCTTTCCCAATTTAAGGTAGTATACAGGTTAGCAGCAAAGGTCAAATGATCACATTTCCATTGAAAGTACAAAGCTGAAGATCACAAAGAGACTCAAACATCTTTTTGTAATATAATTAGGAGACTTTGAACTTTACAACATAAACTCATTGAAAGCTTAAGGGTTTTGAATATTAACCAGGGCTTTTGAATAAGGACATCTGTGGAATATCTTCACTGACTGACTTTGAGCAACTAATATGTATTTCAATGGCTTTGTAGTTAAACCACTGTTACATATGCATTCTTCCATGGAAATAAGTATGGCTAATCATTAAGTAGAATGAACCACATCTTTGTCTGAGCAAGCCTCCGTAGATTACTACCATACTTACAGAAATCAGTGATTTTTATGCAGAAGTAATGAAGCTAACATAACCCTGGTTTCTATATTAAAGTCCTTTCGCCTAATATCAAAGCTGAACTTGTATTGATTCCCTCATTGATTTGAGCACTAATCTAGCTGTGCTTAGTTTGTTTATTGGGATAAGCGGAAACAACCAGGGACCTCTTGTACAATGTAGCAGTTGGTGGCTACCTCACTGAACATCATGTGGAAGGTCTGACACATGCCATAATCCAAAACAATTTGGGACAAAGCATCTTACCAAATATCACTATTCAACATACATCAGAAGATGGCCTGTATGATATCAGCTTCTTGTTAAGCACAAAATGCTTGCTTAGTGATTGAACTACAATGTAACCTTCAACTTGCTCTACCGATACTGATAGTCAAGCTAAACTGAGCCTGCTTTTTTTAAGTTTTCATTGACAAAGTAAAACATCATAGTAATCTTAGTGTTCTCTCTCCCTTGCAATACCTTACATGCATATTTGGGACACCATCTTGCTAAAACCGATAGGATTTAAACAGCATGCAGATATAATGAACCATGACATGTGTAAGACTACAAGAAAAACCGTCCGTATCCATTTCTTATTTTAATCACGTCTTAAAATCGCTGCAGTGCAAACACGTGCAATTTATTTAATAATTCCAAGTTAACAATGTCAAAATATATACCAACCGAGATGAACACACAGTGTTTACTCTGGATCTGTGTTGGATACCTCAAATTACAGGGGGATTTTATTTCTTGTCAAACTTTGGAGTCAGCAACTGTACCGGATCGACTTAGACTTTACCGACAATATGACCCTGGAATCTGACCCGGAAGTTGATTTTTCACACTTCCTGCACGTGTAGTGGAGAAAATATCTCAATGGTATGTTGTTGTCACTTGTTAAGATTTGTAAATAGTTTTCAGAACAAATAACAATACATTTGTCTTAATGTCCTTTAAGGATCGTTCAGATCTCCAGTCAGTAAGATGTACTAGCTAATTAAGATGTAATGCGGTACACTCACTTCCGGTTTCTTGTTTCAGTTTCAACTTCAACTGTTCAACTTCTAGAGCGGGAGAGCATGAGAATGAAAACTACTACTAAGCAAATGATTTAGCAATCAGCAGAGGGGAAATAATTTTGGTTTAGTTTTACTTAATCCTTCCGATGTATATTATATACCTCTCCTGAAGAATTAACTGACGATCTCCTTATTTCGTTAACTTCACCAGAACTGATGGATGAGTAAAACACAGGTGAGTCAGTAAGCTTGTATAGCTGGTTTCTCATTTAGCCTGGCAATTGAAAGAAAGCCAAGTGCTTGTTGGCATATAATAGCATTTATATCCAAAGTTAAAAACACATAATACTCTTAAATTACTATTTCATTGGAAATATGCCAGCAAGTTATAAATACCTGAATACAGGACAGTAGGTTCACTAACTCATAATCATCTCAGATTTTAGCTGGAGCAGTAACACATGACCATGAGAGCCAGTCCATTGTCGAGCTGGTCATTACATGTCTTTAATGTTCACGGGTCCAGAGAGTGTGACTAGTTATCCATGATCTAGTCACCTGGAAACCAAAATAGCAGGATTAGGACAGAATCACACTGAAATTATTGAAAGTCTTGTGCCATGCCTTCACTAGCTTGATTCTTATGGGGGTCAGGAGAATGACAGGAATTCATGAACTCTTTTCATATTGCCACTGTTATAGGAAGGAGTAATAAAAATACCCTGCTACTCCTGGGGTTTAAACTTCTGCAGACCCTTCATTCTCTAGCTTGATATCCTACTGCTACACATCAGGGAAATTCCCACTATTCTGACTACTAGCACCTCCAGTTGAAACCAATTCCAACTATAGCTAGGTTCCTACACTCATACCTAGGAGATCTACTGCTCTAATCCACCGTCAGTATCTAAAATAAAACATGGTAGGATTTTGTAGCTGTAACAATTGTTCATTGTCATTGTTGCAAAATTCAATCAAGTGCTACAGGTAAGGTTCTAACTTAATAATTTTATTAGATATCAAAAAGTTGAAAGCTGTGTTTTGTATAACACTGAGGGAGTTCTCTGTGATGACTGTTGACTGTAATTATGGCATTGTGTATATTTTGCATATCTAAACTGATGTAAGCTGAGTAAACACCGAAAATGTGGCCGTGGGAATTTTTGAGAGAAAAAGCGGCGTAAGGATGGTTATGGACGTGTTAACACAGAAGATGACACTTATGAATCAAAGCAGCACAAAATACAAACCAAATCATTCCTAAGGAACAATAAGATAAAAGGTTTAGCTGCAATCTTAGTTATAGCAGCTGTTGTTGTTTTCTTTGTGGCCTGTAACTTTAATTGTTCATTGTCATGTGTCTCAAAATGTCACACACCGTGCTAAAGCCAGGCAAGGTTCTCACTTAATAATTTTATTAGATATCAAAAAGTTGAAAGCTGTGTTTTGTATAACACTGAGGGAGTTCTCTGTGATGACTGTTGACTGTAATTATGGCTTATTGTGTATATTTTGCAGAAAAAAAACTGATGTAAGCTGAGTCAAACACCGAAAATGTGGCCGTGGGAATGGAGAGATACACTGAAGCGGCGTAAGGATGGTTATGGACGTGTTAACACAGAAGATGACACTTATGAATCAAAGCAGCACAAAATACAAACCAAATCGTTCCTAAGGAACAATAAGATAAAAGGTTTAGCTGCAATCTTAGTTATAGCAGCTGTTGTTGTTTTCTTTGGCTGGCCTAGAGGAGGCTTTAAGGGTGAGGTTCCTGATGTGTCTCATGTCACACACCGCTACAAAAGCCATGGCAGCCTCACTTTCAAAAAAGGGGAATTTTATCTTGATACAAATCCTATCAAAATTGTCAGTGGAACCATGCACTATTACCGAGTTGTACCAAGCTATTGGGAGGAACGTATGAAAAAAATGAAAGCTTGTGGATTAAACACACTGCAAACGTAAGTATTTTTACTGAAAATATTTTCTTTATCTCATCAAAAGCATACAATTACCTGGTCATGAGGTGTTTCGGAATGGATGAATTGTCCATCATCATTGATCTAATGAAAAGAGGACCATTCAACAAAATGGTTAAAATGTGATTGATTCATTTAATTCTATAGATATTGCTTACAAGTTTTGTTTTGATATTGTCCCTGATCGTAATTCTCCTTCATTCATCATCATCCATAGCTAAACATGACACAATTCCTTCCAGATCAATTCCATGGAATCTGTTGTATGAGATACAATGTATACTCCTTCCTGTATCTGTTGTATCAGATACAATGTATACTCCTTCCTGTATCTGTTGTATCAGATACAATGTATACTCCTACCTGTATCAGTTGTATCAGATACAATGTATACTCCTTCCTGTATCTGTTGTATCAGATACAATGTATACTCCTTCCTGTATCAGATACAATGTATACTCCTTCCTGTATCAGATACAATGTATACTCCTTCCTGTATCTGTTGTATCAGATACAATGTATACTCCTTCCTGTATCTGTTGTATCAGATACAATGTATACTCCTTCCTGTATCTGTTGTATCAGATACAATGTATACTCCTACCTGTATCAGTTGTATCAGATACAATGTATACTCCTTCCTGTATCTGTTGTATCAGATACAATGTATACTCCTAGCTGTATCTGTTGTATCAGATACAATGTATACTCCTTCCTGTATCAGATACAATGTATACTCCTTCCTGTATCAGTTGTATCAGATACAATGTATACTCCTTCCTGTATCTGTTGTATCAGATACAATGTATACTCCTAGCTGTATCTGTTGTATCAGATACAATGTATACTCCTACCTGTATCTGTTGTATCAGATACAATGTATACTCCTTCCTGTATCAGTTGTATCAGATACAATGTATACTCCTACCTGTATCTGTTGTATCAGATACAATGTATACTCCTTCCTGTATCAGTTGTATCAGATACAATGTATACTCCTTCCTGTATCTGTTGTATCAGATACAATGTATACTCCTAGCTGTATCTGTTGTATCAGATACAATGTATACTCCTACCTGTATCTGTTGTATCAGATACAATGTATACTCCTTCCTGTATCAGTTGTATCAGATACAATGTATACTCCTTCCTGTATCTGTTGTATCAGATACAATGTATACTCCTACCTGTATCTGTTGTATCAGATACAATGTATACTCCTTCCTGTATCTGTTGTATCAGATACAATGTATACTCCTTCCTGTATCTGTTGTATCAGATACAATGTATACTCCTTCCTGTATCAGATACAATGTATACTCCTTCCTGTATCTGTTGTATCAGATACAATGTATACTCCTTCCTGTATCTGTTGTATCTGGATATCCAGATACAACCTGAATACTTTACCTATTAAACAAGACACAATCAGAATAAACATTCATATTTTACTGAAGTTTCTTCATTCTTTCTTTATTACAGTGAGTACCTGGAGACTGCTAAGAAAGTGGGTCTCCATGTCATTATCGTTCCTGGTCCATACGTTGGCAGTGACCTTGAACTTGGAGGTCTGCCAAGGTAAGTGCTTGTTGGGACTATTTAAGTCTTTCTGAATCAGTATAGCTGACCATCTGTCCAAAAACCCTTTGCCATAGTCTGTAGTCCTTAGTCCATTGTTGCCCTTAAACAAATCTTGTTATTGCTATTTCTTGAGAAGTACTGGACCAATTGTTCTCAAATTTCATATGTAGAAGGTCACATGGTTGTTTGTTGTTCATATTTTATTTTGGAACAGAACAGAAAGAAGAGGAAAAAAGGCAAAATATCCATTAAGAACTAATAAAGATGATCGTATGTTGTGCATCAAGATCCCTCTGTGATGCAGATGAAAAATAATATTGAAAAATTTAATGTTGTTAGTGTTTGACCATAAACTAATGATACAGACATTGCTTAATAGATTGCTTTGAAATCAGCATGGAAATTCTAGATCTCTTTTGATGACCTTGACAGCTCTAGATCAAAAATATTAATCCTGGCAGCTTTAGATCTGTAGTGTTGACCTTGACAGCTGTAGTTTTAAAATGTTGACCTTGACAGCTGTAGATCTATAGTGCTGACCTTGACAGTTGTAGATCTATAGTGCTGACCTTGACAGCTGTAGATCTATATGCCGACCTTGACAGCTGTAGATCTATAGTGCTGACCTTGACATTTGAGATTTATAGTGCTGACCTAGACAGTTGTAGATCTATAGTGCTGACCTTGACAGCTGTAGATCTATAGCGTTATCCTTGACATTGGAGATTTATAGTGGTGACCTTGACAGCTGCAGTTTTAAAATGTTGACCTTGACAGCTGTAGATCTTTATAGTGTTGACCTTGACAGCTGTAGATCACTATAGTGCTGACCTTGACAGCTGTACATCTATAGTGCTGACCTTGACAGCTGTAGATCTATAGCGTTATCCTTGACATTGGATATTTATAGTGGTGACCTTGACAGCAGTCTGTGTTCATTATGTAATGCTCTTTATTATAGCTGGCTGTTACGTGACCCAGACATGGAAGTGAGGACAAACTATGATGGTTACTTGTCCGCAGTTAAAAGATATTTCACATATCTGATGTCTATTATAGAACAGAAGCAGGTAAATAGTTTTACATTTCTAGTCTTTAGATCTTCTTACTTGTAGGCATTGGTTCAATTACACCACACTCTTGTCATATTATTTAAGATTCAATGAGTGACAGTTTGGCTGTTTATGTTAAAAATAAGGTATATGTTAGCTTGATATATGAACACACATCATTTAACAGATATACATGTATATATTATAATGAGCTTTCTTTATAGCATTCCAAAGGTGGCCCTATTATAGCAGTCCAGATTGAACATCAGTATGGATCCTTCAGTAAAGATACCAAACATTTGCAGGTTCTCAAAAAGGTAGTGTAGCTTAATTTCAACTGGCAAGAAAAAGAATATCCGTTAAAGTCTTTAATTTTTGTAGGAGGGTTAGTAGCCCACTTTCATCAGATGGTGAGCTGTTATAATTGTCCTGTGTCCATGGTCTGTCTGTTCATTATCAGTATTTAAACGATTCTTGTCATCACTATTTCTTCAGAAGTGCTGGATAAATATTTCTCAAATTTCATATGTAGGTTCTCTTTGGTCCCTAGTTATGCCCTTCTGGTCTTGAGACTGTTCGAAAAATGATGACAAAAGAGCATCTTGGATTTTGTCAATGAAAGTTTTTTTATCGTTTGTTATAGCAAAATAAATTCCCTACAAATATCAACAGAACAGTAGAGAACTATAATGCTTTATAAGGGTAATATGAAAAATTGTGTTACATAAGTGACTAGACTCTTTAGGTTGCTTAATAGGTATAAAAACTGTACTTTTTGAGGTGGGCTGTACAGATATAGATGCTGTGTATCGTTTGGAATTTGGCTGTATATGTTTATACTGATGTTTTTAACAGATGATGGTGCAGCTTGGTGTAACTGAAATGGTGCTGACATCAGATGGATGGACAGATGATAATAAGCTGGGCATGGCTGTAGCACCTTTCCATGACAGTATGTTGACACTGCAGGCTGTACAGAAAATCACCCAGTTTAGGAATGATTTACTAAATGTCACGATAAAGGAATAAACAATTAAAGTGGCCATTTTCTGATCATGTAGCAACCTAACATGCTTCATTTGTTTTTAGTGTCATCCAGATTGTGCCAATATTGACAGCAAATACAATCTGATGACTGGTCAATAGATAATTATGATTAAAAAAAAAAAATTGATTGTACTTAAGATCAAGAGAGAAAATGACAAATTGGGGTCTGATATCAGTGTTTAAATAGGGCTGAACTTGCCCCAGTATAGAGATTGGGACACTGAAGTTGTATCACAATATGGTGTAGGAATAGGCTGTCTATAGCTGTTTCACAATGCAGGATTAATAAGGTTCAAAGTCCACAAGCTGTTTAAATATAATAATATAACATAATATAAAATATTTATGTTATGAATGATTGAAGCTTGATATTTGCTTAAATCCCTCTGTTAAATAGGCGCCTTACCAACAGCCAGCTTCAGCAGCTTTGAGGAAGGGAAGTCAGCTTTTGATCATATTACAAGTCTGAGTACAGACTTCCCATTGTTCGTCTCAAACTTCTGGACAGGAGCCAACAACTACTGGGGAGATAAATACAGTCCTGGTTCTACAGTCACAGGTATGAATATCAAACTGAATACAAAGTATATATATAATACACTGACATCTACCTGTTGACACAGATATATGACCTCTGGACAGGTAAATAACACGAAGGTAAGGCCTCTTTAGACAGGTGTATATGACCTGATGTAAATACTCAAGTGTGACCTCACTTGACAGGTTGAAATATTCAAGTCAATTGTGACCTAGCTAAGCAGGTGTAAATTCTCAAGTTTGGCATCACTAGACCGGTGTAAATTCTCAAGTTTGACCTCACTAGACACGTGTAAATTCTCAAGTTTGACCTCACTAGACAGGTGTTAATACTGAAGTGTAACCAATCTTAGATAGGTGTAAAAACTCATATGGGAACTAGCTAGACGTGAAAATACAATGTACTCAATGTGACCTCATTAACCAGGTGTAGATACTCCAAGGTGACCTCTCTTAAATACTCATGTGGGACATCTCTAGATAGATTATATTACTCTAGTATGACCTCACTAACCAGGTGTAAACACTCAAGTGTAATCTCACTACCTAGGTGTAAACTTTCAAGTGTAATCTCACTACCTAGGTGTAAACACTCAAGTGTTACCTCACTAACTAGGTGTAAACTTTCAAGTGTAATCTCACTATCTAGGTGTAAACACTCAAGTGTAACCTCACTAACCAGGTGTATACACTCAAAGGTAACCTCACTAACCAGGTGTAAACACTCAAGTGTAACCTCACTAACCAGGTGTAAACACTCAAGTGTAACCTCACTAACCAGGTGTAAACACTCAAATGTAACCTCACTAACCAGGTGTAAACACTCAAGTGTAACCTCACTAACCAGGTGTAAACACTCAAGTGTAACCTCACTAACCAGGTGTAAACACTCAAGTGTAACCTCACTAACCAGGTGTAAACACTCAAGTGTAACCTCACTAACCAGGTGTAAACACTCAAATGTAACCTCACTAACCAGGTGTAAACACTCGAGTGTAACCTCACTAACCAGATGTAAACACTCAAGTGTGATCTATCTAGACAGTTGTACAATCCAAGTGTAACCTATCTAGACAGTTGTACAATTAAAGTGTGACCTATCTAGACAGTTGTACAATCCAAGTGTAACCTATCTAGACAGCTGTACAATTCAAGTGTGACCTATCTAGACAGCTGTGCAATGCAAGTGTGACCTATCTAGACAGCTGTACAATTCAAGTGTGACCTATCTAGACAGTTGTACAATTAAAGTGTGACCTATCTAGATAGTTGTACAATTCAAGTGTGACCTATCTAGACAGCTGTACAATTGATGTGTGACCTATCTAGACAATTGTACAATTCAAGTGTGACCTATCTAGACAGGTGTTCAGTTCAAGTGTGACCCATCTAGACAGTTGTACAATTAAAGTGTGAACTATCTAGACAGTTGTACAATTCAAGTGTGACCTATGTGTGACAGTGTGACCTATGTGTGACAGTTGTTAATCTCATTTTTAACCTTGATAGACAGGTGTAGATACAAAATGTGACCTAGCGAAACAGGTTTGTTATACAGATATCTGGCTTATGTAGGCAGATATACAATACAATACAAATGAATGCATTGTTGTTTTAAGACTCAAATATTTGAGTCCTGGGCCATGCTTTTTTCCTATTGGAATCTCTTCAATTTTGAGAACCTGTTATATCCACCTGAAACTGGACTCATCAAAATTTTGGAAATATGACTCTGGACTTACAAGATGAAATCCCACAAAACATACTGGTACGACCACTTTAGATTGGTACATTAATCAAATATGTGACATGTGTAAGTATTTGTTTTGTGACGTCTCTAGCCAGGTGTAATTACGCAAGTGTGACCTTACTAGGCAGTTGTATGACGAATGTTAAATAAAAGATTTACCCTTAAGTATTTTGGGACACACACTCTTGAAAATTATTGATTGAACAATGGCACACTAGGAAAACAATGAGAGAGATAGGTTTTAGTAGGGAGCTCAGCCCAACCACTGTTGATAATGATAGGTTAGACCTCTCTCAACAGGTATAGTCATAGCTGATCTCTATAGACAGGTGAAAAGTGAACTAGTCCAGGGAGAGGACACCAATGTTTCCTGACCGGTAGTAATGTATTCTATTTACAGAGTTCACATCAAACCTAGAGGAAGTGCTGATCACTGGGGCCTCTATCAATTTCTACATGTTTCATGGGGGAACAAACATTGATGTTATTGCAGGCGCTAGTGATCATAATGGCTACCAACCGGGAGTCACAAGTTATGGTAAGTTTGGTGTAAAGTATGAAGATCACTAAAACAGTAAGTAAACATATGTAGCAGAGGTCATTATGGCTTACAAGTCTGACGCTCAACCGATCAAGCTGTAGAGAAGTTCTCTTTAGCCGAGCAGTATTTTGCAGCTAGTATTTTTACCAGGGTTACACATGATTTGATGTTTATTCAGGGGTCTACAATTTATTTTATAGAAAACAATATAGACTTTGTACCAAACCTATAGTTTGTGTTACTGTAACCATGGTAATTTCTGCTAGGAGTCAGTTTCATGATATTAAAAGGCAAATTGTATGCGCTGTGGTTATTTTCCAATCAACGAACCTTCGTATATCTAAATTAATAAATATTTTGATATGTATGTGGTATGTGGATGAAGTTTATGTGGCAGAATGACTTCTGTGTTTAGTGTAAGTTTCCCTCAGCATGTGGTAAGTTAAATTTAACAAATTGTATTAGAAGACTCATGCAAGGAAGCTTTTCTCATTTTCTCATTTTTCTTATATTATTTTGTAGTGTTACTAATATCTTTCAGATTTCTTAGTAAAGGTGGATCAAACTTTTTATAACTTTTAAAAGTTAAAACTGAAGTCAAAACTTTTGAATGTCAACTGTTGAAAGGTTATAGTCAAACAGATTTATCATTGATAAATCAAATATTTATCAGATTATGATGCACCGTTAACTGAATGGGGAGACACCACCCTGAAGTATAAGGCAATCACTGAGCTGCTTCTGAAGTATGACTATATACGACCAGAGGATATCGTGATACCAGGTGAGCTTCAGACATCTTAGTTCATAATAACCTGGCACTTGTAATGAAAGTTTCTTAATCTCTTAATCTCATTTTCATAATTCAATTGTGTCTCTTTAAAATCAATTGGTTGCATATTCACTACTGGAACATATTCATTCACCATCTCCATGTTGTTGGTTTTTTCAATTTTAAAACTCAAATGTTTTATATTTACATAGTGGTTGTCACTTTGATATTTTTGTTTCATTTTCTTTTTCACAGAAATATCTCGAGATCCTCGGACCACTGCCTATGGTAGAGTATAAGGTTTAAATAAAACAGCATTCATTGTTTAATAGTTACATTCACTTGTGAGTCTAAGTTGCCATGGTGATCTAACATTGTATTTCTGTATCCTCCTCCAATAAAGTTTCCATGGTGATCTAACATTGTATTTCTGTATCCCCCTCCAATAAAGTTTCCATGGTGATCAAACATTATATTTCTGTATCCCCCTCCAATAAAGTTGCCATGGTGATCAAACATTGTATTTCTGTATCCCCCTCCAATAAAGTTGCCATAGTAATCAAACATTGTATTTCTGTATCCCCCTCCAATAAAGTTGCCATAGTAATCAAACATTGTATTTCTGTATCCCCCTCCAATAAAGTTGCCATGGTGATCAAACATTGTATTTCTGTATCCCCCTCCAATAAAGTTGCCATAGTAATCAAACATTGTATTTCTGTATCCCCTCCAATAAATTTTTGTTGTTATTGATATGTACTTAACCATTTAAATAACTTGAGTAAGTAACAAGTTATCTTATACAAAAAAATACCCGAACCAATGAAATAATTAAAATTAAACAGGATCTTTGAGTTGAGCTTCAAGAAAATAGTGTTTTATCGTCTAACTGTTGAATGATTGTCAAAATTATAGTCACAGTCAATATGAATGTGATCTGGGTGACAAATGAACAATCAGGATGTCATTCATATTGACAATAAATGCAATATGACAACTGTTCAATGGTTATACCCTCACTTTTTTCAGGCAGTGGATGACAAAGTGTCTTTATGTTATAGGTAGTGTACAGATACAGGCCTTCCTCAGTTTTGAGAACATGCTATCCAGAGTAAAGGTAGGTAACTAGAGTTTAGTAATTACCAAAAAAATAAAAGGTAAGATATCGTATATCAGGAGTTGTTTTGCAAGAATCTAATTTTTGTAAATTTACCAACCCTTTTAATATTTCAAAGAATCAACATCACTAATTTTTTTCTTCTTTTTTTTGTTAACAAATGAGTAATACATCTATAGGGCTGACCTACCTAAAGGCACCAGAGGACTCTCTAGTCGTTAACATTTCTGAAATAAATCAAAAGTAGTCAGTATGTACCCATTCAACAAAAAGTACATTTTAGGGCTTTTCGCAAAAATTGGACAGTGCAAAAATATCCCCATATATGGTATGAGGTGTAAGTGGTTCAATTCGAAGATGGGTCGCTTTGTATTTCAGAGGAAACTGAATTCATTGACTGCCCTGCATTGTCATGATTGTGTTCTTTAGCAAGACACTTTATCAAAATTTCTGTGGATAGCATGCAATGGGCCTTGTGCATGGTGTTCAGTTAGGTAGTCGCCAGCTGCTACTACAAGGAGACCACACTTTGAAAAGACCCTGGTTGCATTGCCCTTTTGAGGCAATAAAATCAGCAGGCAAACAAAACATGAAGAAAACTGATAGCAGATTCAGGACTGAATTTTCTAGGTTTCAATACGGCTTAAGAAATCTTTAGAAATTCCTTACTTAAGGAATGCTCAGGAAGTGTTTTATATGCATAATATATGCAAAATAAACCAACACAAAATTTCAAGCTCTGTAAAATCTTGGTATAAGCTTATAAAAAATCCTGAACTCATCTAGATTTAACACCTTGAAAAATCATCTGCTTTTTGATCTAGTTATTTGTTTGAGATATTACAAATTGTATCTAGAAGCATTTGTTTATTTGAAAGGTAGTTCAGGCTCATATACATAACTAATAATGAGTTCACATCTGTAGATGGGAGAGGCTGGTACTGACCAGTGATGTTGAATTTTAACAGGGGAAGCAGATGGATTTGACCAGTGATAACATAATTTTCATTGGTCAAATGACCAAGGTTGTTGACCTGTGAAATGTGTTTAAAGTGTCAATGTTTTACTGTGATGATATATAATACAGATGTTATTAAGGTTAGTGTAAGTACTAGTATTTAGAAAGATGTTAATTTTACAGGGAATGCAGAGGTCCCGCTTTTCACTTACCATGGAGGAGCTGAATGTCAGAGGTCAAAGGTCAGGCTACATACTGTATAGAACAAACATACCTAGCTCGTCCATTGTCAGATTGACTGACCAGCCACGGGACAGGTTACAGGTCAGTTTGCTATCAACAGTTCTGTAGTTTGAAATTATTTTAATTTTCGTTAATTTTGTACCAGCCATATAAAACATTTTGCTTTCATCTTTTTCTTTGTTTTAGCTGACTTGACATCACAGAATACATACTTTTAAAAGAAACCTCAAATAATGTACATACTGTAATATCTATTTATTCTTGGTTTTATATAGCCTTGTGGGTGTCTTGTGGCTCAAAGTTTAACTTTTCTCCCCTATTACCTTTAGACATTACATTGTATGCTACTGTGACCATAGTAGTCAAATTTACACAAATTTTTAGGATTTTTTGAGAGTTATATGTTGAGAACTTTACACTCTCGAAAATTACAGGTAAGGTTGTGTTTTGGTTTTAATTGTTCATTTTTTTTGTTTCACCGAAAGTTTTTAGCAGGGTGGATGTTTTATTACAGGAGTCATGGAACACAGTATTGTTTTCTTTATCAAGTTAATTCCATCCTTGTTAATTGTAGATAAACAACAGTTACAGTATTTGTAACAGATATAAACACACAAAGACCACATTTAATACGGACATGATTTAGTGTAATAACTAATATAGTACATTGTGTATTGATAGTATACCTGGTGTATTAATCCTAGTATTGTGTATATAGCTGTTGGTGAATGGTATTAACATGGACACAATATTTGACTGGAATACCAATACACGTACTACTGATATCTCCTCCGAATGTATCTTCATTAACAACACACTGGACCTCCTAGTGGAGAATACCGGCCGAGTTAGTGAGGTAAAACAGTCGTCAGATTGGATGGACAAGCAGAGGAAAGGTGAGATGTATTACTAGCAAAGGTGAGAATATGTTAAAAAGAAATCAATTAATGATATGTTTTGCTACTATGATAGAATCGAATGAGATTACATAACTTTTCAAATCAGAGTAAGGTTAGATTGTTGTATATTGAAGGCAAATATTACTGCATGACTGTAACATCTGTCCTCTGTATCAGGTCTTCATGGGGATGTGTTAGTAGACCGCCACACTGTGAATCACTGGACCATCTATAGTCTGGACTTCTCATCCAGCTTCATCAACAGGTAAAATACATCTACAGGTAATCTACATCAATAGGTAAACTACGTCTACAGGTAAACTACATTAACAGGTAAACTACATCAATAGGTAAAATATATCTACAGGTAAAATACATCTACAGATAAAATGCATCAACAGGTAAACTACATCAACAGGTAAACTACATCAATAGGTAATCTACATCAACAGGTAAAATACATCAACAGGTAAAATACATCTACAGGTAAACTACATCAACAGGTAAAATACATCAACAGGTAAACTACATCAACAGGTAAACTACATCAATAGGTAAAATACATCAATAGGTAAAATACATCAACAGGTAAACTACATCAATAGGTAAGCTATATCAACAGGTAAACTACATCTACAGGTAAACTACATCAACAGGTAAAATACATCTACAGGAAAACTACATCAACAGGTAAACTACATCTACAGGTAAACTACATCAACAGGTAAAATACATCAACGGGTAAAATACATCAACAGGTAAACTACATCAGTAGGTAAACTACATCAACAGGTAAACTACATCTACAGGTAAAATACATCAACAGGTAAAATACATCTACAGGTAAACTACATCTACAGGTAAACTACATCAACAGGTAAACTACATCAACAGGTAAAATACATCAACAGGTAATCTACAGGTAAACTACATCAAAAAGTAACCTAGAAATACAGGTAACCTACAAAAACAAGTTACCTACATCAACAGGTAAACCTCATAAACATATAAATGACATCAACAAATAAACTGCATCCACAGGTAATCTACATGAACAGATTGTTTACATAAACAGGTAAATTCCATCAACAGATAATCTACACCAACAGGTGCAGGTAAACTGCATAAACATATAGATAACATCAATAGGTAAACTACATCTACAGGTAAACTACATCAATGGGTAAACTACATCAACAGGTAAATTACATCAACAGGTAAACTACATCAATAGGTAAGCTACATCAACAGGTAAATTGTGTTTATATCAACAGAGTAGTTACATCAATGGATGAATAACATTGACAGGTAAACTACACAAACAATCGATCAATTATTAACCTGCATTAACAGGTAAACTTCATCAGCAGGTATGTTACATCAAAAAGGGACAGATATCCATCATGAAAAGGATTAGGTAACAACATCAACAAGTTTCATAAATCTCAGCTGATAAACTATTTATCATTTCAAAAAGGTGACATACTTGCTATTACAGTAACAAGTGACCTACAGATACATTATTTGATCAAATACCTACATTATCTTATTAATATATTGTCAGTAGGTATACTGAGTATGTATTAAATATCCCGGACAATTACATTGTAATGAATAGCAATACTTCATGCTAAAGGTTAAGCATGCTATGATTCTGTTGTATTGTAAAGAAACCCACTTGTTGACCCTTTTACTGTAGAAGTTGATTTTAAAAATACAAATGATATGCTCCCTTTTAACTTGCAGGATCAAAACGTTTGACAGATGGAAACCATTTACCTCCTCAAGTCTGGTTCCAGGACTGTACCGAACAGAACTGAGCATTGAGCAGTCACCAACAGACACTTTTCTGTCACTTACTGTAAGTAAAATATGTAGCAGATATATCCAAATAAATTACAACATTCATCTGTCTCATTAAAGATATTGTTTTGTTGAAAGGTTCTGTTTCATCAGCAAAAACCAAAATGTGGTTCAACACTTTAGTGTGACTTTTTTTGTAGGGCTGGGAGAAGGGCATGGTTTTTGTGAATGGAAACAATGTCGGACGTTATTGGAATGTTGGGCCGCAACACTCTCTTTATGTACCAGCATACTACTTGAAACGTGGTATGAACTTGGTGAGTGACATAATATTTCTACATTCAACATGATAAATCCTATGATAATTAGTAGAGAATCTGTTTCTTTCACCCTGTGAACAACCAGGGTCATATTGAGGTGCAGTCTTATAGTAGCCGGTTGGTTCCTCACTGAACAATATACAGGAGGACCTTCGCATGCCTTCCTGAGCAATTAGTGTAAAGTGTCTTGCTCATTGGTAACAGTACAGACTGGTCTGTTTCTCAACTCCCTGTGAATGCAGACCGCCTCCACTAAGAGGTGTCAGGTGTAAAATTATTTGGTGCTAAATGTCACATAAAGGAACCAGATAGATCGGATGAGACAGAAAAATCTAACGCTGGGTAGCGTGTGTCTGGTTTCCTTATCCCATGTACAACAAAAGTGTATCCTACAAATACAGAGGTGTGATAGCTCAATTGACAATTGACCTATGTTATCACAAGTGAATATCTGAGGTGTGGAATCTGACACCTCTTAGAGGAGATGGTCTGAGAATTGTAATTACATGACTTCATATTCAGTTGTTTTTCTGACCAGCAAATACAAAGAGAGATAATCTAATCGAACTGAAGAATTTTGAAATGAAGCCGCTTTTCTTATCAGGTCATGGTAATGTTGCAATCAGCATCTTACTCCATCTTACGAAGAAAAGAAATCATTACAAATGTTTGTTATAAAGAGGTTGCAAATGTTCTTAAAATTTGAGGTATACCTACTGCATGGCATATCTTTCTTTTTTTTCTGGATTTTTACAAGGAAGTTTACAATATTCAGCACTTATTTACATTTATTGCCATTGTTTTATTGCCTCCTGTATAGAATTTAGGTTCAGAACATCAGCAAAGCCTCCATTCTGTACCCAAATTCTTTATGGTCCGATAGGCTATCCTTAAACCACTTATCTACATACGTCCCGAATACTGGTACCTGCAGATCAGTGTGGTAGGATGGGTAAATACAGTTGAACCACATTATCCTGAATGGGGTAAGACCATGGGAAAATTTCAAGAAAATCAAGTATTCTATTTAAGAGAGTACAAATGTTTTGTGTATGCAGGGACGGACAAAATGCTTCAAGTCAAATGGGGTCTTCATGTTTTACGAGTTCCGAGATAACGAGGTTTGATTCAACTGTATAGATAATATCTGGGCTTAAACGACGTTACATTCACATCACTGTCTGATATCGATTCAAACTTTTTTCTTTTTTTTTTTGTTGCAGATTTTGATATTTGAACAACACAAGGTTGGAGCGACCATATTTTTCTCAGACAAACCATCCATAGGAAAAAGGATGGCATCGGAAAAGTACTGATTCGATGGACAGAATGTGTGCCTATTTAGCTCACCAGTTATGGATAACTGTGTGCTGATACTTTTTTCCCTGGCATCCACATCAGAGTCCTTGTTGACATCCAACCCGAAGTTATGATATATTTGAAGTCAATTTTTGAAAGGCATATGACTCATTAAGTACACGTCCTGCACCCCTCATGAGGTCTAAGATTTATTTCAAAGGGTTTCAGTCCATTTTTATAGATCTCACACCCTTCCTGTTTGGTATATACAATGAGGAGAATACTAGGATAAATGTTTCCGCAATTTCATCTTGAATGTTTTTGCATTTGAATTTTCATATTTTAACACATTTTGGACATAAGTGTTTTGAAAATTTCTTTTACTTTACTTCTTTTCTTTTTGGTATACACAATAATTAAGCATTTTTCAATGACTTATTTCTACTTCATTATCTTGTGAAAATTGTTGTCAGAAAACATTCCACAACATTCCGTTGTTATGTGATAATATTTTTTTGTAAACATTAATGTCGTCCCTTTTCTCAAGACATTCCATGCCATATCATTATTAAATGAAAATCATTGCAAGAGTTCATACTACATGCATCTTGTAATAATCCTTATAAAACATAACATGATAACATGATGTGTAGAATGTATGGTTAAATCTGTAATTAATACTATTGAGCACTGTTATCAGTCTGTGGTTGTAAGTAGAACAAGTGAGTGTGTATTAGGACAGAGTATTGAAACTCTAAGGAAACTCTCGACATGAGGAAATCTCAAGTTGAGATGTTTTATACAAGTGGGGCCAGGTCACATTTAGTTGAGTGTTAGAGTGTTCAGCTAGAGACTAAAGGGTCGCTATTTCAAATCGCTCTGGGGGCAGGGCGTTTTTCATTTCTCCTTCCTATTACAGATCTGGTGCCATTGACCACTCCAAGGGTAGAAGCTAGAGGAAATTGAGATGCTTCCTTGGAGATAATGAACCTGGGTTGTTGTTGTCTTCAGGGTTGAAGACTTTGTGAAGGAGGGAGTACTGTAGAAGTTGAGTGTACAGGTTGCCTTACTAGCCATGGCTAGTGGGAATTTTCCCTTAGTCGAGCTGTAGAGTATCCGGCTCGAGATTGAAGGGTTGCTACTTTCAATCCCGCCTAGGGCAGGATGTTTTTCATTACTACTTCATATTACATATCATATAATTTACGTTGGAGAAAATGCTTTAAGTGTTATCACAAAACTGTGCACATTGGTGCGCTGGTTCTTCTTCTGTTTAGAATCTCTTAATTCTTTAACTAGCCCATTCTATATGTAGTCCCCAGAATACCATGTCAAGTTGAATCATATCTATTTTCCATATAAGGTCAATATTCAGTATACACTATGGTATCCTTCAGCAATTCTGCATTATAAGACACCTCAAATGTATTAATATCCATCTTGAGGTGAAATCCTAGAAACTGAGAAAGGATTGATGTATGAGGATCAAATAATGGCATGGCAAAACACAAAAATGTGAACTATATATATACTACATATAGTTGGAAAAGGACATGTTCTACATGACCCATCTAGCCAGTTTTCAAATATCTATTTTTATAGTATTTTGTGTATAAGAGAAATATAATATGCACTTGTTGAATGTTCAGTGTTGAATGGTCTTTTTAAAATGTATACCTGTATTTATTGCAATTTCTTTGAGAAGGTGAAGCAAAATTTCGGTATAAAACAATTTTGCATATTATGCATGGCTGAATGTACACTTATGTAATATCAGTGAAGTGATTGTTATGATGCAAATATAAGAATCAATGTAATAATTGATCTAGTGATGTTGAAAGGTTGTGAAGCTGTATCTCAGGTAGGCTGAATTGGCCGAGTTAGTCTGCCAATCATAATCTTATTTAAGTTATCTAAGGATGTCAGAGAACCATTGTAATACCTTACATCTCTTTCTAGTTTTTGTCCTGTTAAATTTTATGATTATTTTTCAGATAAAATTCATTGATGTAAAAACAGCATACTACTAACTAATAAGTTTTTAGTGGTCCGATATAAAAGGATGTCCGACTAGTTCTGAAAAAAAGTGTAGATGGACTTTTGATACTTTGGAGACATATTGCACTACAAACATGTTTTCTGTAAGAAACAAACTTGATGGTAATTTTTTTTTAAACATTTATGAATGTTTTTTTGTTTATATTTGGTATATTGACAACTGTGATGAACTTTTCACCGGCATCTGGCCGGTGAGACGAAGGACTACCAGTTGGTATATCTGCATCAGTTAAAAAGTGAAAGACACTTTAGTAACTTTAGGTTTGTTTGTATTGTGATTGTTATTTTACACCATGGGATTTAAATGTATTCTAGCTTTTTATTGAGTCATTACACAGAGGATCTCCAATCAGACAATGTTTTCCTTGGAGGTGTCATTAAAAAAAAGTCAAACATCTTTTGGAGGTGTCATTAAAAACAAAGAGTCATCATAATGTGTCATGTTGTTTTTATTTACATGATAAATGACAGAATCTAAAGAGATTTCAGGGCAAAGGAAAGACACAAGGACATATTCCATATACATTTATACGTTTAACCGTCTCTTTTCAGCACCATCTTCTAGTCAATACCAAGACAATACAACTGATTACAGAACACTCTTGTCTTACACGCACTAGAATTATATGGAACGTCGGTGCTGATATGTTAAATAACAACATTGCATGTGAATTGCTTAATATTGAAATATGCTGATAACGTAGCATGCCATTTACCAAACCACACAAACAAGACATGCACCTACCCCTTCCCCTCCCCAAAACATATATCGATGGTTGTTTGAAGTTTGATGAATTTGTTTAAGTCGTCAAATGTGACCTTACAACCTTCATAAAAGACCACCTTAATAAGAGGATGATATGGGTTAAATATGAACCAAATCTATCAAGAGGTTTTCGAAGATGCCACATGTAAACTGATGGTAAAGGGGACGTGACAACAGGACGGGATGGGGCAAACGGACGTTGGTAACATTATATGCCCCCAACAGTGGATACATTCAGATTCTGGATAAAATATCATCCCATTTATCTTTCTACTATTTTATTTCACTGCCATTTCAGCAATAAACAATTCACATGTGCATCAGCATTCCATAGTACTATACCCCCTCCTACCTAACACCATACAATTCACATGTGCATCAGCATTCCATAGTACTATACCCCCTCCTACTTAACACCATACAATTCACACCACCAGATCTTACAGACACTGATATAACAGTTGTCTTTATTCCACACCTATTTTTCACATCCCTTTTCTACTTCCTAGCATACAAAAATAAGTTATTCAATCTGCATTCACAGACCATGATTGATCTTTAACACTCCAATTACATACATCTTTCAAAATATATATAGTTATATTTACATTCTATGAACGGATGTGCTTCAGCAGTTTTTTTTATTATTATTATTCAAGTATAAGCATTATTATGGTGTAAAATCAAATAAAAGCCTAGTATTATAGGCATCAGAAGAGTAAGCAAAAAAGGTTTAAACCACTCTACCATAAATACATTTGTACCTCAAAGGGTGTGCACATCAAACTGGATTATTTTTGTAAGCATTAATTTTTCAAGTTGAATTCTGGGCTGAATTTGACTGTTTACTTACAGTTAGACTTTTCATCATATATTGACAGTTTATGTTTTAATGTAAATAGTGTACCTTATAAACCTTTTGATTTTATCATACTAAGTGTACAGAAATGATCAAAGAAATTGATTAGATGTCACATTTTTTGAAACTGTCCTCGATTGTCCTATGGAGTTTACAAAGAAAGACTGTTCCAGAAGAATTATTATTCATTGTAAGATAATGCCTACATGGAGAAATAAGAATAATCAGCTTGAGTGAAAACTGTTGAGGCATTAAAACTGGGAAAATGGATCTCTCCAGTTTTCAAGTTTTAACAAACTGAAATTGTTGGTCATGTGACTTAGTTTGATCATGTGCAAGTAAAAACATCATAATACAATCTTATGTACTCTTTAATTTCAGTGAAAATCATATATTTGTTTTAAAAAAGTCTATCCTTGATACCAAAATTTTACACTTCAGATTGTCAGTCGACAGCTAGTGAATTGATACATAGGGCTTCTACTCAAACTGTAAAAAACATCTAGATCTTAATAGTAAAACTGATGTTGTCCTTACATTCCAAACTGTACTGTAACATTAATTAAAACTTACCTCTGGGGTCCTGGAGTAAAAGTCTAAAAATAACCATCATACTTGTACCATTCCCTTGTAAAGAGTTAGGCTTCTTGTAACAATCATTCCCGAATTCAAACAATTATAGCATGTACATAAAACATATTTAATAATGACTTACAGTCTGGAGGACACAACCATTGTTAAAAACCACGACACTATATTTTTGCCAGAAAATGATAGTATAGTATGAGCCATTTTTCAGATGAGAAAAAATATAATGATGACATTGCAACACAACTTTCTATTCTCCATCATAATTTTGATTTATAAAAATCAATTCTTTGCAGATTTCAGTATACAACCATCATAGAATTTTTAATAGGAATTTCAAATAAAATATTTCAAACTTTCAATACAAAGTTTTAAGAATAAATGATTTAAAAAAATGGAGTCACAACAAAATACACACTGATAAAAAATCATACTGAATTTATCAGTAGACAACCAATCATTGCATTCTAGTTATATCTAAGTTTGAAATAGGAAAATTCCCTTTGATACATCTACTCCTCTTTTTTTTTTGTATTTTCTTGGTTGTACACAAATAATGAAATGTTAGGATTTTACATGAAATGTTGTATGTTGAATGCTGTTTAGAATATTAATTAAACTTCAAAACCACATCTGCATGATTTTCCATAATGACATATACTTAAAAAAAAGAAATATTTCTCAGAATATTCATAAAAACACAAATGAAAATATATTCCGGTTTCATGTTTCTCATGCACAAAACATATTACAGTACAATTATAATGAACAGAACTTAAATGATACTGTAAAAAGAAAACAGTTGCCATGCAAACGGTTAAGAAAATTACCAGTTTTCTAACCCGTTTCGTTCCAAGTATAATTATTATTTTCTTTTAATTTGAATCCATATTTAAGAAAATAAGCAAACAGTTTTTTATATAAGTTTTTTATAAGGGACTTCAAGATATGATGATCATAAAGCATCCAAGTTTATCTTGATTTCGGAATAAAACATGCAGTTTAATAACAATTCTTGTCGGTAACTCTGAAAGATAGTGTAAATTCTTTCAAAGATAAAAAACGGACAAATAAATCTTACTGTACTCCACCGAACTGGTGGACTTGGTCACAGTTACCAAGCTTCTAAATAACTATGGCAATGATTACTAGGGATACATTTTGATTCTGGGACACCTGATATAAATCAATGATATGATAAAACATGATTCTGCATGTAAAGATGATAATTCAGAAAAAAAAATTGCACAAATATGTACAGTCACTACTGCACTAATAGAGTGCTATTGCACAAGGTACTAAAAAATGTTCACAAAATGTTAATTAAAAAAACACAAGCAGATAAACTGACTAGTAGGTTTATTTTGATTCACAATTTATTAGTCTTCAAACCACATGAAATAAAACAATTTTCTACCAAACCTAGTAAAACATGTAACTGAGCTACAAAAAAAAAAAAAAAAAAAATACTGAGAAACAAACATTCACTATCATGTAAACATCAATACTGTTAATCGTTGAGACAAGTTCGTTGGTATGCACATCAAAGGGATGTGCTTATACTCGAGATCAGTAGCTGCAATATTTTGTATAAAAAATAAATATTTCTTGGCAAGTCTGATATGTTTAATACAATTTTTGATGTAATTTATGAGTATTCATAAAGGAATGCAAATGATTTCAAACATGATATGTAAAGCTTAAAACCAATTTTTAAGATCTGGAATGAGAATCGCCAGAGAATGCTTCCCTTCAAAGGTTTTCACATACAAAAACATCAAAACTATGCTGTGTAACTTCATAATATATTCTACAAATTTCTTGCTAGTTGCTACAAAAACACACACACAAAACCCAATTACGGTGTAGGTTATTCTTCAGAAAATTTTTAGAAAAAAATTCTGGTATGATTTAAAAATTCTTTCCTTGTCATTTAAAATCAACTTCCATCAGAAATTGGCGATACTGGGGTATGCTATCATTGTAATCACAATCAAAGCAATGTTTAAGATATTTTTTTCACTTGTCCAGTATAGATATTCTGGATATCTGATTACTGAGTAAAAACAAAAAAAAACACAGACAATAAAACTCAAAATCAAAAACTAACTACCTTTTAATTTACAATGCAATGTTGTGTAGAGTGAATTATTACAATACACATAACCAAAAGCTACCAAATGGGACTACTATACTCAAAGTAAGCTTGACTGTTGCTTCCCTCACTAGTCACCATGACAACAACACAAGCTTGACTATCACTACTAATCGGCCCACTCATTATTCATCCTGACAACAATACCAGAAAACTGGCAGCAACAGAAATAACAGTTCATTTTTTTTTTAAAGTTTTATATCAACAAACATGGGACAAATATCTTTTGATCCCATTTTCAATAAATAAATAACAATACAGCACTGAGAGATTCATTACATTTGTAAACAAATTGAAAACAAAACAACCCAACTTGATGATAACGTTGACTGTAAATGATGTAGGGTTCCTTGAAGTCATGTAAAAATCCAGACAAAAGTCAAAAGCCCTGGTGATTACAAATTTTGATGATGAATATAAATGGGGAAGTCATAAATGGGGAGGCTTGAATCTTTTAAAGCGGAGAGTCACAAAAGTCATCAAATTAATACGAAAGAAGGTCAAAAATCATGGTGAAAGTAAATTTGATGATGGGTGCAAGAAATTTCGTATTTTATGGTGAAATAACAAAACAAATGAAATACCCAATCAAATGACAAGTATAAACGATCATTTAACTGTTCCCCCACGTTCAATTTGTTGAATGAACAGGTGCTTGTTCTGGTGTATATTTGACCTTCACACAAATAACATGTACATCATAGCTCTCTGTGAATCCTAACGGTGACCCTCCTGGTGTAACTCTGATTGTTACCATGGCCATTCCTTCCTCCTGGATGATGACTTACTTCGTCTTAAACGTGTGATCACAATTGGGGATGGCTCGTCTTCAACATATGGAAAAATGAAACTCTGAGGACGCTGAAAACACAAACAACAAAATTGGTTTATGATACCACTTAAGAAATCATTCAATCATATTTTAACTAATACAACAAATCATACTGCTGGTACTGTAACCTCCAGGCAGACATTACATTTTTAACTGTGACTTGGTCCTCCAGCAGATAATACAATCTAAGCTAGTTTTTTCAAAGTCAATCTGATATTAGAGCCTTGTTTTGATATCGGGGTCTTTCGTGGACACTGGTGTCCTGGAAATTAAAAGCTTTTGTCCAGCTAATATTGCAGAGTCATGTCTGATATTTAGGATCTTGGGCTTAAATTGGGGTTTCTGGTTGATTGGGGTTCAAGTTTCCAAATACATTGCAGTATTTACCAATGATATACCACATAAACTGGTTTTTAAAGAACACTCATGCTTTAACCAACTAAAAACTAAAATGTACTTGAATTTTTCAAATAGGATGCTATCCAAAACATATGAAGCACAAGATTTCTGATTAAAAAAGTAATAATGTATTAATAGTTTTTATAAGTTAAAGTTATTACATGTTATAAAGTTACAAACATCCACTAACTGAGGACTAGAAAATTTTGGTGTCGTTATTAGAAAAATATAGTGTTGTTATTGTTACCTGGTGAAGAATAGACCTCTTGGCAGGAGAAGAAGTAGGCGTGTGGTGATTCAGGTCAGCATTAGCCAGCTGGTCACTCCAACTAATGCGGGATGCATGCTTGGGAGCTGTAAGATAAACACAAATGATACAATCAACAGAACAAGAAAGCAAAAGAGATCAACAACTCAAAGTTGTAAAGTGTTTGTAATATCACCAGTGAACTCTCACACATTTTTTACATTGTGAACAAATATCAAACTACCATGAAAAATTGTTTATACACCAGACCTAGCATGATTGTAATAGAATATATTTTGTTTTGATGTATAGTGATCTCAATCCTTGGGAAAAGATTCTAATGTTGCACACTCAAGGACTTTAAAAATAAAAACTCACAAAAATCTTTCCCAAGGGTTCTGATCCTTTATCTAGTCCCAAAATTCATAAGTAACATTTTTTTCTCTTCTGTCTGCAATTTTGGTGATACCTCATATATAATGCTGGGTATTAAAAGGTTAATGTCATCAACTCATTGCTATGGTGATGTCATACCACTGTCCTGACTAGGTAATCTCCTCAATCTTAGAGAGGGACCAGGAAATATCTTTCACACAGAAAACTAAATAGACTTGTCCAGCATAAGAGAAATGGACAACACTTATGAAAGACTTTTAACATTTTACTAATTTGAGACTTCTGCCTAACTCTACCTTAAGTGGGATCAACTAAAACTGAAATGTTACATACATAAATCCGTTCTAAACAGATTTTTAGATTTTTATTATATCAAACAAAGATATCAAAGACTATCCATAGTGTTTGGTTAGCTTATTGTACTGTACTTCCTTTTAACAGCCAGGTTTGGATGGTGGAGGAAAGTGAGTTTCTATTGAATAACCATCGACCTGTGGCCAGTACCTGACAACTGTCCTATTTAGGCCTTGAACCCACAACATAAAGGTGGAGAGCTAGTGAAAAAGGTGGTCAGACGCCTTAACCACTAAACCACTGCAACCTTGTCCACAGTGTATCGGGTGATAGATGTGTACTTACGAGGATAATGCTTGATAATCATCTCGGCCTTGGAGACATCCAGGTAGCTCACTTTTCTCTGACTGTTACAGATTGTGTGTAACTTTGTAATGGTGTCAACCTCATGTTCAGACTGAAATCAAAGCAGACTATGATAACAGAGGTGGTGAACTATCTTAGTTAGAGACCACATAAAAATATTTTCAGCTTTAAATTTTCAATATCTAATATCTTACTTTTATCATTAATAAAATTTCACATCACATGTTGTAGAAGAAACAAAATTGAAATTGTAAAATGTTTGTCTAAATGTAGTCATATTTTCAAAACTAATCTATTAACGATTTTAGAAATATATCTTGGCTAAACACTTGGGTCATTTTTTCAAATCAAACATCTGTAAAGTCAGATAGATCTGTCTTAAAAGTCATCTTTATGTTGAATACCATCAATTTCATTTTAATCAAACAATTTGATCAGTATACAAAGACGCCATCAGTCTCATTGTAATAAATCAACCTGATCTGTACATAAATGATATTTCTTCAAATTCTGAATCTTTTAAGTGGCCTTTAAAGACAGGCTTTAATGTTTGTATTATGACTTACAAGTAATGACGGAGGTCGATTATCACAGAACACTCTGGACACGCTGGTAGTCCTTGTAGTCTTGGTCTTTTCTGACTTCTGACCGATGAAAAATACATCTCATTAACAAAAAGTTTGATCTCCAACATGGGTAATTATAACAAGATTGTTTCCCATCATTTCCAAAATAAGTATATTATGCTTTATGTCTTCATCAGCAATTCTTTATTTTTTAAAGATAAAAATACTTCATATATGAAGCTTGTAATGTAAGATTTTCACTTTTCCATTTACTTAATAGAAGTAAATTCAGCTTTATAACATTTTGCTGGGTTTTTTTTAAGTATTTTCCTGTCTTTATACTATTTTTACTATTTTCCTGTCTTTATACTATTTTTCCATTGACAATAGTCTAAAATGTAAATGATATATGAGTAGTACAGTTAATATACATAATTTTTCTTTGGATTTTGTGAAATTGGACCATAAAGACAGTTCACATTTATCACTGTGCATGAAATACTTACCTTTGGAGTATTCATATTTTCAAACTTCTCTTTCAGGACAGCTTTTTCCTTGGGTTGTTTATCAAACTGATGGTGTTGCTTTGTCTTCAGTGTGTCTGGCTTCCTTGTTTTCTCATCAGAATGTGTTACCCCTAACTCATTGTCGGCTGTATAAAACAAACAGTCATCAATCATGATAGTTTGTAGTATTCTTAGTTTTCAAACAGGTAGTTGATATTTAGAAAAATTTGGATGGCTATTTTCACAGCATATTTATCTAATCTACATGTGTTGGAAAACCTGTTCAAAACCGACTACAACAGAACAATGGTTTACCATTCATGATGATTCACATCATCATTTCATCAGCTATGCATTGTTTGTATATAATTTTTATACATTTTGGATTTAGTTCACAAGTACCATGATATTGTATTGTAAAACTGTATGAATTAGTATAGACTAAATCTACAAGGGCTAGCACTACGCTTGTATTATAACATATACTTAGTGTACCAGGGTGCATTTTGAATACAACACTCACCATTTCTGATCTTTCTCGTCTTTGCCTCAGATGTGTGATAAGGTTCAGAAACAAATGTTGCTAATGAGTAGTCATCAGCGCTGGTCTCGACTTTTCTGTCGCCTGGCAGTACCATGGAAAATTCATCGGGAGAGGCATTTTCATCAGTTCCAAAGGACAAGGAAGAATCCTGGTCAAAAGAGTTCTCAAGGCAAGATGATGACAATGAGGAATCACTATCTTCACCAAAGTAAATATCAATGATTTGATTACATAAATCCATTTCACTCACACTTTTCTTGTCCTTTAAGAGAGATGAAGGGGACCCATCTTCCGACCCACATGTGCTATCATAGGTGGCATTTTCTACCCAGAATGCAGTCTTTTTCATGGCACGTCTTACATCTACGATACTCTTTGATGTATCTAATGACATTGGCAAATTAGGTGAAGCCTCTAATTCTGCTGAGGTATCTTGATCATAATCACACCTGTTTAAGGGGAGCTGGCTATTTTTATCACAATTTTTAACAGAATTGTCTATCATGTCAGACTTTTCACTAGATTCGTTGGGGACAAAACACTTATCATCACAGTCTCTCACTGTTTGACCAACATTTGCTGACACTGTATTTTTCACTGCACACATCTGAACATATCCAAAACTTGACATATGACTATTATTTGTGTCTCTCACGTTTATGTAATGTCCTGCAGCACCATTTCTCACATCAATGTCATCGATCTCATGATATATAGGTTCCTCTGTAGTGAATCTACACTCTTCCCCATCAACATAAGATATCCGTTGTCTTGGCAGAGAACCTGTTGTGTTCCATCGACTGAAAGCACTCCGACTGTTAACTGTTAGGTTGGAAGTGGAAAGAGACTCTCGGACGGGCGTCACCATGATGCTATGGTCAGTTTGATTCGATATGTACTTTGGACTAGGGTTCACCAGCACATGAGGGTTCTCCATCACTAAACTGGATTTACTGCTTTTTACAAACCTGCCATCAGTCTTGAGCGAAGTTCTACTGTCTCTAGATTGATTTCTATTGATCTTATCTTGGCTTAAACTTTTCACAGGTTGTCTTGTACCCTTCAACGATTGACTTTTGTTATGAACAGATATACCTTCAGGTTGACTAGTATTAAAAATGTAACTTCTGTCGAACTGATCACATGACTCACTCCTTTTGACAGTTTTGTGCTTGGTCCGACTACTGTTGAACGACTCAGTTCTGTTACAAGTTCTGTCCTTTGACTGACTAGTATTGAATATCTTGTCCTCTGCCTGGCTACTGTTGAATGATTTTTCATTTTTGTGACTTTTGTTTAAAGACTTTTCTGCATTTTCACTAGCTTTAGATGACTTCTTGTTTTTCCGTTTGCGCAAGAAGGAGAGTGGTGCCTTTTCTATGCGAGATTTGCATTTTTTATAATCACTTTGTTTGGCTTTAGTTTGGCTAGTATTTACACAATTTGTATGTACAGAATTAGAAGGTAACTTGGATCCTCTACTGACAGCGATACGTCCTGGTTGACCTGCTGACGAAGCATTTCGAGACAATGAGGTATCCATATAGCACTTTGGGGGAACATAATATGCTGAGCATTGGCTAGTATCAGAGTCAGAATCACTGTCCGACTCTGTGGACCTACCAAAGCGACAATTCTGTCCATCAGAACTACAAGAAGAATAAGAATCGCTGTCTGTGTCATAATCACAAGAAGAACAGTCACTCAAGGTATGAAAGGAAGATGCCGAGGTATTATGAGCACTGTCACTGCTCTTTACAGAAGCAGACTTTCTAGGAGGTGACCGAAGATCAGAATCAGAATCTGAATCAGAATCAGAGTCCTGCTCAGGATTATCCAACAAAGAATCATCCTCAGGTGATGCTATAGGAGCCCGACCTTTACCTTTTGAACTTTGACCTGTGTTGCCACGGGAATGATAAATAACACTGTTTTGAGAAAAGCGTTTCTGCATATTGGGATCTGATGGTAGATCACTGACCAGTTTTGATGTGGAAGGTGATGGAAGAGATGTTGTTGACAAAAGAGGTGAAGCAACTGTTTGTTGTCTATTTCCACACGAAAGATTTGCTCCTGACAAAAAAGCTGGGTGAAGACAGTCTATTCCACTATCTACACTGTCTGTACGCTGATCTGACAACTGTTCTTCTAAACTTGATACACTGCTTTTGATACTGGCAGTGTCACCATCACATGGCCTCACTAGCAGACTATCTTCAGACAGAGGACCAATCTCTGATAGTTCTCTACCTTTGTGGTTACGAGACAACTTCTTACGAAAGCTTAGCCCAGGAATAAACAATGATGATTTACGCTTTGATGAAAACAGTTTCATCTTTTTTCTGTCCTTATTGGACCCTTTTTCTTCAAAGATATCATCTTCCTCAATGGATGTGAGGCCATTGGACCAAAGTTTACTTGCTCCGCTGTAAAAAATGAAAAGTAGAAATTAGGAGACGTCACAGCAGTTCTTATCTTCAGGATTCTTGTAGTATTGTTAATATCTAAATATATAAAAAAAAACAAAACTTCAAAACAAAAGTAAAATTAAATATTAAAATTTCTCACTGTCCTACAAAGTTTTCTAAAATTAGACTGACTACCATGATGGACTGTACCTTTGAACTGGAGAGGTGGCTTAATGACAATGATTATATAATAAAGTTGTCAAAATTTTGTAGATTAAAAAAGATGATGTCACCCGTTTATGGTATCTTGTTTTTGCATTTAACAAATTTGATTTGTTATTATGAAATTACACAGCAATGAATTCATGCCATAGCATAGTTGCTAGTTTATTTGGATTTTTTTTAGTTATTGATTTCATAATTGGGTATGACCAATATTCGTGAAAGATGTTTACCATTAGAAAATTTCAAGGTATAGATATTAATCATCTAAAACACAACAATTGTTAACAACCATTTCATTCCAAAAAGTAATATATATATTATTTCCGTAGAACGTTTTAAAGTGACACCAGAACATTGTTTCCAATATTTTCAATACCATTAATATTAAGAGATTCGTAGTAAGGTTTTCAAAACTAGGGCGAGTCCCACACGGAAAGCAGGAATCCAGCACTCAAATATCAAAGTCCCAAACATTACTGATATACAACTGCAAGTGTGCAGTATTTGTATACACAACAGCTATAAAAGTCCATATGTAGGTGCTATACATGCACATACATTAGTGAGTATACATGTAAATGCTATTGTTTATTTCTTAAATCCTGTTTTTGGTTGTAATCATTGAATGTAAAACACAATACTGCAGTCAAATATAAACACTAATTTCAACAATTTTTGTTTTGTTTTTTTCATACAAATCTTATTTATTTTTGAAAATACATATACATGTATACACGATTATCAATTCTTATTATCATATCGTACTTTCCTGTTTACATTTTAATTTGTTAATTTTTAAAATTTCCAAATCAAGTTACAAAAAAAAAAAAAAAAAATGATGCAACAAAAAACATTCCTCATACATTTAAAAAAATTTAATCTGAATTTTTTGTAATAAAATATTTATTATCTCAGAACAGTTTTGTAATAAATCTACCCTGGCCATAAACCTCAAGATATGATGATAAAAAGGGAATGGCTTTTATCTGTGTAGTGATCCCTCAAGGTATCAACTATCAATTACACCTTGGTATTTATTCAGTAATCAATCTGTTTCTTCCCTAGAGGTATTTCTCACTGATAAAATCTGAATACAAAAGCCAGTGATCATGGAAACCAAATGAATTCAGACCATTTTATCTATAACTGTAGGCTCTAAATTGGATACAAAACCTTACAAAGGGTTAAGACTGGAGGGAAGATTTAAGTCAGCACTTTTATTTGTATGATAGTGTTTAGACTTGTACAAGCAAGCAGCAAAACAGAACTTTATCTAAACAACAACATGGACTTCCAGTAATATTGTTGTCTCTTTGGCCATTTCTATATCAACAAACAGGTGTAATTATCCAGTTTTACCTGTATCGCAATTTAAATTCAACAATGTATCTTTACTGGATGGTAGACTTGATGAAAACATGAAAGAATTACTAGGCTAAATTACATGCATATTCATTATAATTAAAACTTGGCAGAATGAACTTAATAGCTAGTTTGATAGCTGCCACTGATCATAATTTTTTGTATAAAATGTTTCCTAATGACATTAAAGACAAGCTGTATTAAAAATCAAATGTGTCTAAAAGAGGATCTTTTGATCATGCTCAACCAAACAAGAATTGAACACTAGCACTGTGACAACACATAGCTAACATTTTACTAACCTATCTTCTTTTAGTTACTATATACAAATCATACAGTGAGGAAATTTCGTTGGGAAGATTTATCACTATGATTGCAGACTCACATTAATTTCATTTAAAATAAAAAACATTTTTAGGAATCGAGAAGATAATAAGTGAATTTAGAACAGCTTCAGGAAGGCGATTTCAGGATGTAACTGTAATGTATATCAATTACATTCCATGAAGTTTCTACACATAGTTAACAGTGAAATATTTTGTACCTGGTCAGGTCTGTAGGATCACTGTCAGTTGTATGATTGTACAGCTGGATAGGTTTGTATCCACTAAGGAAAGAAACCCCTGGTTTCAGCTTCACTTTCATGATTTGATGTTATGATTTATCATCTACAAATCTGGTATCTAGTCAAGCAACTCCACTTTTAGTAGCACTGTTATATTGTGTAATCTTTGATACAAAAATCCCAAAGTTTGCTTCACCGAGTTTCTCCTGTTTTGGCACACAAGTGATACTGCCACAGCCTTAAATTGTACGATACAATTCCACTGTCATTTATATAAATAAATTTGTTGCACTGCAAGCATTCCTTGACCATCGAATCAACAAGACTAAAATATCCTCCATGTACAAACAAAATGGCCTACACAATCAACACATCCACAGGTGGCCTAGAAAAGCACCATGCATGTCCCTATTCCAACAAACACTTCCTAAATGAGCTAGCAGGTTGTTAACTGGCCTGTATATCCAGCTTGGAGTCTGGGGGCACCTGATCACTGTTTACACAATATCTCTATTGTCACAGGTGACAGACAAAGCCAAGCCCATGTGGTAATATAGCTATCACCTCAGGCTGGGACAAACACCTGATGCTAGGATTACCCATAACTATTTACCTGTAATTAACAGGTGCCCTCTAGTCACTTTGTAGTTAGTGTTCTCTTGGAATATTTTTTTTGGTTTTAGCTATAAAGGAAAATGGCCTGTATTAACATGATATGGTAATATCACTGTTTGGCCTGTAATTTACACATCATATTCAATTTGCATAATTCAGCTAATTTTCTTTGATCATTTGAATGGATTAATTATGAACCCAAAGTGTATGGTCAATTACACTATATGACAGTATAATAGTACTGATCTGCAATGTTTACTGTCAGGTGGTGCAGGTTGACAATAACATTGTAAATGATCTATTCCAACTGGAAAGGTTACAGACACCAAGTTCATTGTTTCATCTTGCACATACTGTGGCAGATGTCATTATTTACTTCAATGCCTACACTCGGATTTGAACCTTGGACTAGGCTTACTAGTCTGATTTTCAAAACTACCAAGCTAAAGAAAAGTTCTCTCCAGCCAGCTCAGCAGTATTTTACCAGGGTTACATTACATTCTGAAGAAAAACGGAGGAAATTAAAGTGCAATATTTTATAGTCAAAATCAGCACAGACTTATCAAGAATATCATCAAATTATACGAAAAAAGACCTAAGATTCCCATATTCTTTGAAAGACTAACAGCCTGTCTATGTTGATTCCTTTATTTGAACTGCTGCTATTTATTTCCTTTTGTGCTTGCAAATCTTTTATAGTGCTATTTTTGGAATAATCTTTCATAAATGCTGTTTTTTTTTCTCTCTCTCTACTATATACACATTAACATGTACCTTTAACTTTTTTGGTGTGCCTTATATTGATATGTTCATTAAATACACATCTCTTGATATAATATGCAAATTCCAGGATATGCTTCATGAGCATTTTATATGCATGACATTTCATTGCGATACTTTGTTGTGTTGTACTGCTATTATATTTACCAGTGAAGTTCAGATTCTGATGAGCTGAAATCATGTCTTAAACCTCAAATAAAAGTTCTTCTATCTTTAGCTTGGGACTAGCAAACCATTTCAAAATGCAGTGACACTGTCTCAGTTGTAATTTACCATAAGTATTCATCGTCTTAATTTTCAAAATAGGAAAGATGTACATGTATTTATTTATGTGTCTGACTGCAGATGGGCAAACACTCCTCTAAAGTGTCAAGAGAGACATTGAGAAAAGAATTAGTTTTTGAATTAGGAATAGAAACTGTTGTATGCCCCCACTGGCAGCCAGAGATAAGTTTGAAACACTTAAGTGTTATTGGCATTCTTAATGCTAAGAAGTCTTTAAAATTTGGCGAGGCATTCCAATTTTGGTCTAAAAAATTGTGAAAACTTAAGTCAAATGACCATAAATTAAAGAGAAATGTTGACAGAACTTGTCCTACATATTATCATCATATAAAATTTTTTTACCATCAAATTACAGATCTTAACAGTGTCCACTAAAGAGCGAATGATCATGAAAGGAAACAATATTATGATGGAATGTTTAGTGAATGGTGACACATTGGAAAGCACACACAGTACCATACATCCTAATGGCAAGGCACTTCAGTGTAACAAGTTACAATATCTGTATATATTGTAGTAGAGATGTTTTAGGTAGAATAACACTACAAAAGCTCCTGAATTGACATCAGTATATATGATTTCATTGAAATAGAATTGAATAAGAACATTTCTCTACCACAACTAAAATGACTAGTATATGATAAACATGCTGCAATTTCTAATTCTGGGAATGAATTGACATAAATACAAATCTCTACTTTGAACATTAATGTATATGTATTTTTCAGCATAAAATATCTTCATTAAAAACTTTGGAAAAAAAGACTCCAAACTAAATTATAGTTCTTGACTTCTAGCACAGATAACATGAAATCCTTTCATTTTGGGATTAATTTGAATAAGTTTCATATTACAAACGATGGATCATTAATTATAGCTGACAGCAAAATCCAAATATTTCCCCACAAAATTAAATGTCTTTTCAATTTTCTAAGGTGTACCAGGTACCCTGTATGCAGTATACAGCTCATTATCCTACAGAACAACTATATATAGCTGTGTCATAAACCTAGATAAAGTATATCGTGAGTCATACTTTGTGTGAAATAGACAACTACCACAATCGTTGGCAACAAACCAGTGATTCCATTGTTGAATTTTCAATTGAACAACTTTCCCTTTCAATTATTCTCTTTTGAACTTCCTTTTATACTCTTTTGAGCCATAGGTGAGAATTACAATTTTGATTCCTGGACTAGGGTTCAGTCACCCATGCATTAATGTTTCCCATTAAATGACCATCTTTTCACTTTGTAAAGAAAACATATGAAAGAAATCAACCACAGCAATCCAAGTACAACCTTTGCAAGTTTGATGGCTGTGGTACATAATTAGGAGACCAAACTTCCATGGATGTTATTATCACAACTTCATGAACTTTCATAAATAAACATGTTCATTACAACACATAAATTTTGAATGCAACATCTAAGTAAATCAGAAAGTAACTCTGGAAAATTGATGCATGTGCCAAATTACATATATATGCTATCAATTATTTGTTGAACAAAGTAATAAAAAATAAATGACATGTACTCCAATAATGGCAACGTCTGTTGATTGTTGAAAGATGAAAATATCTTAATCAGATTTTTAATGTAAGATCTAACAATTATAGTGTTTGCAACATAAAATTTCACTTGTTTGGAATGTGGTATTATATATAATTACTTTGAGGAAAAAAAATGGTGGATCTGGAAGGAAGTTTTCAATAGCACATTAAAAATTTTGGGAATTTGGCTAAATGTGAAATTCAATTCTGAATACGGCCAATCATTGTCCCATAAAAAATAACTACCAGTCAAGCATTTCTCTTAAAATATCAACAACTGAATTACAAATACAAAGCAAAAATTAAGAAAAAAAAATAACAACTTTGTCAAAATTAAAATGTAAAATGTACAAAGTTTTCCATTACAACATGAAATAACATCTCTAGTAAAAATAATTAAAATACAATATATACTAAAGTTCTTGACCATTTGTCTTTCGTCAAGGCAAGTGAAGTGAAAAATTCATCCACAGTTACTGTAGCTTCATTGATTCATGATTTCAACCTGTTAATCGTTTTTGCTGGCCTGAATATGATAGGCATCTTACCCTAGTAGGTAAAATTGAGGTAAAAATACACGAAATAAAAAAAATGTGGAAAAATATTTCGGTTTGTTTTTGAAAAATATAATAAAGCCGCCTTTGATACAATACTTTTCTGTATCAAAACTTTTCAATAACCGATGCTTGTTTTTACAGACGTCCAGCACATTTGGAATAAGATTCAGATTACCATGGCCTTGTTAGAGATCTTTTCTTATTAAAGTTAGAAAGGTGTCTACATCCCATAGCTGTGTGCCGAAAGTGGATAAGTCTGACCGGGTAAATAGGGCAAAAGTGAGAAAAAAAGTTGCAAAAAAGGCATCCTGACAAAACAATTACGGGGCCTCACATGACGCAGGCACCTCTCATATATTACATTTAAATGATGTCAAGTGTAATTTCTTATCATTCAAGTTTTATAAAGGAAAGGCAGCTAAAAATGATAGCAAGGCTGTTTGTCGATTCATTAAATTACATGTAATAATGTATCGGTTGTCCAACAACCAAACGACAGAATTTTGTAAACCGGTGTTTTAATATCATCTAACAGTTTCAAATTCAAGTAGAAAGGGTACCAGGTGTATAAAACTTTAACATGTTGAACTGAAACCGATCAAGATAAACTGTCACACGCCTCCTGTTTTCCTATGCCGATCGTAGCACATGCTGTGTTTACATCTATGATCGAAAGGCGAACACTTACTTGAAAACGGAGACGGATTACCGTCCCTTGTTCGATATTGAAATAAATACATCATGAATGTATATAAATCTGTTATCTTACTAATCTGTACTATAATAGAAACCATACCTTTTACATTTTTTGCTCATGCTGTCCCTGGGTCTACTGTTTATTTAGATTTCCCTCTGCCGAATGTTGACAATGAAGCCATTTAAAATTCGCGTCTTACCCATCATTCCATGCGTTTCCAGATCTATCAGGGGAGATAAGTAATCCAACCTCCGGTTATAGTGTGTTTCAAAATAGTGTGGGTTGTTATTGCAGCGTTTAGTGAAGGCCACGTAGCAAAAATCAGTACATACACCACAGATATGATTTCGTTGTCTAACCAAGCCCTTTGAAACATCTTTACTTAAAAGTGTAATAGCTGATTTAAGGTGAAGATACACAGTTAGTACAAAAGTTTATCACTTAGGGCACAAAACTGTATCTATATATATAAATCTGTGTCATCGTAAATGATGGCCGATATGTCTTTATCCACCTTTTCAACAAAATTTGTCAAATGTGTACCAAATTGTATTGCGATACATATTTAACTTGAAAGAGCGTTTAAATGTGTAC